TTCAGCTGGCTGGTCCATTAGCAGAGTTTTCACTGTATTTGCTTTTTCGAAATGCGACATACTTTACGATATAATTGAAGAATGTCCGGATGATATCAGTTAAGCTCATGGATCGGAAATTCTTTCTAACCAATTAACCAAAAACATTTTTTTAGGTGCTTAACAATTTATATTCCTATAAATTATATACAATGTTGGGATGTAGTGGCGGCCTCATTGACCAAATTATTTTGAACACAAATAATGACCATAGATAAGCAACGTCCTTATATGTCAAACCAAGAAGACCACCTTTAGACAATTTTCCAAAGAATCAAACCTCACGATTCACTAAAGTTGTCGATGTCCTGATAGGTTGACAACTCTGTCAGATCGGTGTAATAAGATACTAAGTCTTCTTTTGTCGAAACGTGGACACTGACACTTGATTCAGAATACAATTTTCTTCCTTGTGCAAGAATTCTCTATAATAATGTTATATGTGTATTGGTCCCAAGGTGTACAAGATGGCATATGGATTAATGAAGTTGTTCATATATGTTTAACTTGGCATTCAAACACAAAAATCTCAACAAAATCTAGAACAATGGAGTTCTTCATATGTGTTTATCTTCGCATCAACTAAATAAACTTTGGTAAGATATTTATATTAGAATTTTATATATATATATATAAATAAAATTCCATCTACGAACAGAAAAAATGAGTGTCTTAGCAAACATCTTTCAATCATCATAAATGCTGGATAAGTAATAGATCCTGTCTTTTTCGTAAAAATCTTAAGATTGAGTCTATTTATTTTTATACACATTTTTTTTGTTTACAAAGTATATATCTCTAATAAGAGATCAAGTACTCGTTATTATTATTTTAATGATATAATATAAAACTGATATATTACAATATATTGCACATTATTTCAATAGCGAATTTTGCAACAATCAACAAATATATCTCAATCCCAACGGAATCGGTTCTTTTACGTAGCATATTTAACTTCTGGTAAACGTGTTTATTAATATTAAACAAAATATCAATTCAGATAGTATACAAAATATGTTCAGATAATATGTAAAAAATATGGAATTCCAGTAATTTATGGAACTTCCATCAAATTTTCAATATCCATTTAATACATAACTCTTCGCTTCAAGTCGTCTATTTTTGAAGTCTGGTACTTAGGGACCACAAACAATCATCACATACACGATCAGTCAAACAAAAATGAAATTCATTACATAGATCTATGACGATAGGTATTCGGTAGTATTCTACATTACTGTATTTCTCACTTTGTTACTTAAAGATTTCAAGTAGTAACTATCGGTACAAATTTAGTCATCTCTCACTAAAATCTGAAAGTTTAAAGTGCGGTGAAATAGATCAGCGGACAGACAGACGGACAAATGAAGAGAAGCGGAAGCAGTTGCATCGATTTGTTTTGTCAAGTGATAAACGATATATGTATATGTACGATATATGTGTGTGTGTGAACTACAGGTATTGGCGAAGAGACTGCGTGTCTACACTTTCTAGACTTTGACAAAACTATTATGTTCATACGCAAATAGGTATTATTTCCGAACTTCGCCTGAAAAAAGCAATTTATATGTATGGTATTAGTTGAAAAGTGAGAGTGCTTGCAAAACTGTTTCCAGAAGTCTCGTCAGGGTAGACGCATGGTGAATCGAACTTCTAATTACAAGTGTATATGTATATATATACTTAAAATTAAAAAAATGTCAAAATTTTTTTTAAATTTCACTCTTTTTTGGTGTAAAAGTACAGATTATATATAACATATATTAGAATATATATTAATCGTCTGATTCATAAAAAGTTATTGAAGGTTTATAACACTTTAAAACGCGCTTTAGCAAGAGCAAGAAGATCCCAATATATTTGTCAAAAAAATTAACAAATAAAAATAATCTAATTAATTAAGGTTGCTTTATGAAGATGTCATCCATATACCAACCTTACAACTTTTCAGCCAATGTAGTATAAGCTTTTACAATCTTACCAGTTGTACATTAATATTAAAATTATAGTACAAATTGAATGGTACCCTTAGAGCAGTAGAAGAAGAGTCTGCGCAGAGTGTTGCTACTGAACTAGAGTTATTAAACTTGAACTATAAGAGAAAAAAAGAAATGGCATCTAGTATCCGTACTGAAGATGTTATTATATATTGAGTTTAAAATAATAGTTTGATTTGTGGGATCGTTCCACACAATAATCAATAGTAAAGTTGAAAGCTTGAAATCTAAAAATTTTTCTACTGCCATTATCAAACAATAAAATTAATATTCTTATCTCTTACTACATATGCTCATACTTATGAAGCATTTTATGACTACAGAATTAATTTCATATTAAAAGCGTACATAAGTATATATCACCACCCAAAACTACACAGAACGGTAACTTCTTTCCGATGTAATAATTTTTCTTTCACATTAGTTAAATTTTTTTAATTAAAAATTCTTTTTTTAAAATTTTTTTTTTAAAACAAATTGAAAATATTTTAATTTAATATGTTTTCCTAAACAAATATCCATCCATAATTAGAATTCTAAACTATCCTACGCAATTCAAATCCAACATTAACTAAAAGAGTGATTTTGTCGATAGAGAGGTATATGTAAATAAAGATTCAGGACCTAAATAGATTCAGGACCGTACTTATATTTCTGAACTGACAAGCCTGTAAAAAGACGACACATATTCTGAGTCCAACAAGAAGTAGTATTAATCCACCCTTATAGTTCATCCTTGGATACAAATGCAGCCGACGAGATTAAGAGCACTTCGTACAGACTTTTGTAGAATCTGTCAGAACAAATACATGAAACACTCGATTCAGCACTTGTTGAGAAAAAAAATCCAACTTCTTTGAATACTTTCTACACCTAGATTCAATCCACCCAACCCTACCCATCTGAAGTTGATCAAAACAAGCAACACAAAAAAATTGTGGTTGCTTTAATATGCATGAAATTGTGATAAAGATATGATTATATTTAATAAAAACAAATAAAATAATAACTAAACAACACCTTAAGAAACGTGTAGACAATGAGAGATTATTTCAAGAACATGAACTTATATTAAAATCTATAAATCGAGTTGGTACATTGAGTGATGCACAATATAAGCACATCGTACAGCCAAGTGCATGAGAATTGTAATTCTTCATATTGTATTCCATAGTTTCACATTATTTTAATAACAGAGCTTCTAAACAATATTATTATTAATATTATTATTTTTTATGTGTGTAAAGCACAAATTTTTGTATTATTTTAAAAACTATCTAGCAGTTTAACGAGTGTATAGATATTTCTAAACTTAAAGTCATTCCAATTACGAAAGCTCAATTTTCGTGTTTGCTGACAAATATTTTTAAGCGATTTTTTACTACAACCTTTGATCCAAGTTATAATGCACGAACATTTTAGTTTAAGTTTTGAAATATTGACAATCTGGACAACTGCTGTACATTAGTAACGTCTGATCCTTGTTGCTATTATTCGGTCGTCGTACTCAGATGAGACAACGGCAGTTCATCATTATTTTATTGAGCTTTATGTCAACCCAACAAGTTGGCATTTTCTATAATTTACTATGTAGTAGGCCGTTGTTCAGAATAATTTCATGGATCCATTCGCTTCTACTGTTTACGTAAGGACAATAAGGAATAGCATGCAGGGACCTGTCATTAACCTGTGGTTTAAATCAGTTTCCACTTAAACGGATTTAACAAATGTTTTATTCGCATTTGTTGTTTTCGGGGTAGTTGCGGTTCCCGGAAAAATATTCGGGACTTAAAAAGTACTGTCTAGACAAAACGCCTTTTCTGTTAACCTAAAACAATATTTTTATTATTGAATATAATTAGTGTGATTTGTTGCCGATTTTATTAAGCTTTAATTAAATTATTTTATTTAATAAAATTATTTTATATATTATTATTTTATATATTATTATTTTAAATAATAAATTGTTATTATTTTTTGTTATAGTTTATTTATTTATGTTAAAGCTATTTGAGCCAGTCCACTTGAGCACTTTTACTCTTTCTTAACTCGAGGTATTTTTAAAACCCCCCTTTACGCCTTGACTAGATTATTGTTTATCACTTCATAAGGCTAAGCAATAATTGACCTTAGATCTGCATACCCTTCCGAGGTGCCTGTAACCATTCTGAAATTCGATAACACGGTGTTGGTAAGTCTGTCAGTTTTCGCAAATAATTTCGGCGCTCTATCCTTTATGAATTTTTTGATCAGATCAATCTCGAGGTCCCTGGGGATGTCATTTGTCGTTATGTATCATGGCACAAAAGTCTTCTCAGAGCCTGGTTTTGTGCAATTTCTAGCTGCCGAATAGTAGTGTTTGAGACCTTGCTGAACGCTACACACACATATAGAAATGACAGTCGAATTTTTTCGTTATATGTCAGCTTACTGTTTTTAGCATTGAGATTTTCATTTTTGAATAGCGGTAGGAGGTAATGAAAAATTTTGGCACAGCTAGTTCGTTTCAGTTGAACTTGTTTAAGCCATGTGAATCGTTTGTCCACCGTGATGCCCAGATATTTAATGCTATCGTCTCAGTTTACTACAATATCTCCCACTCTCACTCTCGACTGGTTCTGCCTCCTCTTTCGCGTAATGAACATATCCTTTGATTTTTTATTATTGGTTATTCATATTCCATTTGTCAATATGTGTAATACATAAATATGTTAATATATGCAGGTCTATATGTAAACAAACATGTCCAGAATTTAATCAACTACTACTTCAGCGATGTACATTGGTGGGCATACTACCGCTAGACATATATATTAAATTATTAATAAAAAATATTCAGAAATCTTTAAAATATATATATCTGAAATTTGTTAAGCATAATTGAAGTAATTAATTTTTTGAAAATCTTTTATCTTAGTTTTGTTAATATTATTTTTTATAAAATATGAAATATATTAAATGTTAGTATTTCACTTTTAAATAAATATTTCATATTCATCCGAAACAGCTTGACACGGTTGACAACTCACAAGACGGACTGGATCATATTGTAAGTGATATCCAGTTCTTGACGGAAGCAACGTATACATGTCCTGGCCATGTCGGCTTCATCACAAGTGGCATTATTTAATATACGTAGTATCCCAATCAAAGTACGTCTGCACTGTTTATTCCGATAAATAAGACGGTTTAGATGATTAAAGTCCTCAATATGGCCAGTAACACTAATATATCAAAAAACTTTGATATAAATATTTCAAACTAGACCATACTAAATACTTACGCCGCTGACTCACGAAATTTTTTGAATTTTTCTAGATCCGAATAGAATCGTTCCATTAACTTAACGATTTCCTGCATACAAACAAATATTAACAAATTTGGTGCTTACCCATATATCTATGGATATCTATATATCTATATATATCTATAGTTTAAAAATATTTCATGATGAATAATATTACTTACAACAACGACTGGATCATATAGCGGATTAATGCGAAGCAAGATATATTTGAGTTCCGATCGCATCGTTACACTTATATTATGCAATTAATGGAATAAGAATATATGGAAATAGTGATATGAAGTAAAGTTAAAATATTTTTTTAATGAAAATTAAAATATATAAATTGTTATCGAAATATAACATCAGTCTGACAATTTTTTCAGAGCAATAATGGTCAGATATATATAAAGTATGTTGACAGTTTGATTCATTATGATTAAAATCACAGCATGTTTACACTATCCCAATTAACTTAACAAATATGTAGTAATTACTAGCATTTTTAATAAGAAATTTTTCAATAATCATTATTTAGAAACCAATTTTAGAAATTTATTTAAAAATTAAAATTTATATATATATAAATATAATTACAAAATTATAAATCTTTGCAAAATCGTATATTGGTATTATTTATTTATTTCTATTTAAGCCAGTGCACTTGAACACTTTTACTCTTTCTAATCTCGAGGTATTTTTAAAACCCCTCTTTACGCCTTGACTGGATTATTGTTTATCACTTCATCAGACTAAGCAATAATTGACCTCAGATCTGCATACGTTCCTGAGGAGCCTGTAGCCATTCTGAGATTTGATAACGCGGTGTTGGTAAGTCTGTCTGTCGTATACTGGTGTCAAGCTTATTTTATATAATGAGCTACTTTGCTTCACGAATGTAATCTTTCGGTATTTTGAGATCGAAAATTACTTCTTGTGACCATTCGTAGTCTCAAATGGAAGTGAATGGCAGTGCGTTTAGTTAAACAAATAAGATCATTTTGAGCAGTTAGAGTTTATTAGCTGCTCAATAGGTACATTTTTTTCTTTAGAGAACACAATGTTTGAAAATTCGCCACGTTCCTTTGCTCTTTTGAGTCCAATTTTTTGCTGCTTTAGTATACGATCTTGTTCGTTTTGGAACTTGTAAAGCTTTACCTTGAGCTCATTTTAGAATATGCGTCGGGTAATGCTTCGCTGAGATAATTTCAGTTCTTTGGCCATTTGATTACTACTACGTCGTTAATTTCGTTTAAGTCGAGCCTTCACTTTACGAACCATTTCAAGTACGACACACAACTTTTTATTCACTTTGAGCTCACGAACAATAACTGGTTGTGGTTGTGATCTTCCAGCCATATATAACGCAATCTCACTGTTACATTTGAATTGAATTTCGAATAACTTTTGTTTTATAAAACTTTATTTGAAATACTTATGATAACTTGTAAACAATATAAACAGCTATCATTTGTATGAATGTCACGTAGTTGACAATATCAGTTTGACATATATACCTGTGTGTAGTTGGTAACACTGCAATTATCTAACTCTGTATATATATTGTCTTATAATTTATTCTTACTTCAGTCCGTCGCCTAGAATGAACTGAAGTGACAGGTTTGGGTTTAAAAGAGTATATATTATTATTATTATTTTTATGACATGTTCTATTAATTATTATTACAATTCAAGGATTTAGTCTATTCACTTTCCAGACACCTCTATTAAGCACTAATGCTCTACGCTCGCTGAATGATTTGTTAGTTTCCCTGTTTACCGATCTTCTCCGTGTAGTTTTCGGCCTTTCACGATTCCTTCTAAAAGACTAAATATATATATTTTTTTAATTTATTAGTACTTCAGTCCATCCTCTGAAATAGACTGAAAGGGAATGCGTGGACTGAAAATATTATATATATATTCTTTTAATTTATTAGTACTTCAGTCCATCCTTTGGAATAGACTGGAAGGGAATGTTTAGACTTAAAAGACTATGTATATATTCTTTTAATTTATTAGTACTTCAGTCCATCCTTTGGAATAGACCGAAAGGGAATGCCTGGACTTAAAATACTATATATATATTCTTTTAATTTATTTGTACTTCAGTCCATCTCTTGGATATGTGGCTACTTGCATTTTAGCTGACAAAATATGAATTTTAAATATTTATTGTCGTATTATATACTTGAAGACTACAGAAATGCTAGTACGAAATAGTTTTTCCTTTACTCAAAAACCCATTTTCTGTAACAAATAAAAAAAAATACGTTTATAAAACCAATTAAATTTTCATTTTATATAAATTTTTAGTTGTATGATAAGGTCAAAAGCCTTTTTTATTATTTTTAAATTAATATTTTCTGTCATTAAACAAATTGAAGCAATTCGTTTCATTGTTTTGATTGCATCAAGTATTTCATTGTCAATATCATAATTAACACATCATTTGTTCTCATCATATCGTTTAATCATTCGACTCGATGGTGGTGAGCACTGAGCACCGAACTCATTTGGGTTACAAGTGTTGCATGTCAGACAAATAAATTGAATTGAATTAAATTGAAACGAAATCAAACAAAACGAATCTCAATGAAATATGCCCACATGCAATGCTCAACACGATTTGGGCTTCCTTTATTTATTTTTGGGCAATAGATTTTCCGTTTTTGGAATATGCGATACTTGCCCGGCTCTTTGTGCCTGCTGGCTTCGATTGAAGTGCTTCGATTAATTAAATGCCACTGCACACTCAACAATGTTAACTCATTGAGTGATACCAATCAAAACAATCTGAAAGCATAGCAATAAATCTTCATTTCCCACTAAACAACATCAATAAGAAAAAAAGTGTTAACTCATCCCAAGAACAAACATCTTTTCAGCTATGTTGCGCCTCCGTGTTACCATTTCAAATGCACTGAAAGTGCATTCCCGAGCATGGCATGCCAATGGCATCCAATGTAATCAGAAGAGGTAATCAAAAAATTTTCAGTGTCTGCTTCTTTTGATGTTTGATTGATGTGATTCATTTTTCTCGATAGACAAGTACAAGTGAGTGCACATACACAACCGGAAAGGTGAAATATTCAGTGCGAAATAATCACAGTTTTATTACTTTCTTCTCGAAGAAGTTTATGAAATCAAAATGAAAAAAGAAAAAGAAAAAGAAACTAGAAGAAAAAAATGAACTAATGCCATATCAATGGCAAGATACAGATACTCATCTGTATTTTTTTGTGGGCATTGACTGGTTCACTGTTGTTGGTATTTACTTCTGACAAACAAATTTGAATGTTTCTTTGCAACATTTCATATTAAATTTTGTATCTATCAACATAATGTCAACTGTCAGAAGCACTAGAGCACATTATCTCAAGCAAAACAAAAACCGGGCACACACTCAAACGTTGCCATGCATTCCGTGTCGTTGCGCATTCTCAAATGTTCAAATGTCATTTTTAGTGAAATTCTATGTTGGCAATTTATGAAAACAAAAATACTGACAATGACATGCAAGCTTAAGTGACAGATATTTTCAATTTCAGTTTTTATCCATAGATATATCTAAGCATACACACACACACACACACACAACACACTTTGCGATTGCGATTTCGATTGCGACTACGACTACTCACAAGTACGACGGATACATAAACCCATACTCGCTCTTCACATGCAACTCGGGCGATACATTTGACAAGCCGAAACGAAACCCCTCCACAAAGTCATAAAAGCAGTCAGGCGAACAGGAACAGACACATTCGCTTTGACGGCACAACACTTCGGAGAGGTATCAACTCGCCTCACCTAAGCCGGATAGCGAGACCGAGGCCGTGAACAGAAAGCACATAATAAGCAGTAATAGTCATATACATAAGTTTAAACAAAAGTAATAGTGTAGAGCAATCATATTAGCAACTGACAACTGACACACACATACCGACACATGCACTTGCATGCACTTGCATGCACACACATGCATGCACACAAAACGCAATGATTAAAATGTCACTTTTCTTCATTTATTTTGACACAAAACTGACGAGGGCCATTATAATGACTGCTTTTCATTGTTGTGTTAAATGCGATGATTATAAGCGTGATTGAATGAGTGCTTTTTCGCGCACTTCGCGTACTTCGGGCACATCGGGTATGTCGGGCAACTCGGGCAACTCGGGCAACTCGGGCAAGTCGGGCAAGTCGGGCAAGTCGGGTATGTCAGGCAAGTTGGGCTCTTACAACGGAACCACCACAAAACAACATTTCATGTTTCTCCTTTTGACTGTTTTTTTTTTTTTTGAATAGGTTTTTTTTTTTGTTTTTATTGTTGAAGTGCACCAACGAGCCGAAAAAAAAAAAAAAAAAAAAACAGACAACACTCCGCAACATCAAACAAAAAATTTAAATTGAAAAATAAAATGTAAAATGTAAAATGTGAAAATGTAAAAATGTTAAATGTAAAAATGTGAAATGTTCTCAAATGGATGCATTTTAGCATGACTTTCAAGAGAACTGACGCCCTGACAGTTCACTTACAGAGAAACTGACATTTTCAAATTGAGGCTGTTATATTGCTGGCATTCTGTGTCATTTGGGGAAGAAAGGGGGTTACGTAAACGAAAATTTCAAAACTGATGAGTCATATTCACAACCAGCGCAGCGCAAATACAACAACAACAACAAAAAAATTAAATTGGTACGGTACAAAATGCACAACAACAATCCAACCCAACAATGATGAGTGATTTGAAGTTCATATTACACTATTACACTATTACATTATTTCATATATATACACATACATATACATATGTATATAAATTTTTTTTGAATAAATTTTTATCAGAACTCATTGTTTATTTTATTATTGTCTATTATTTGCTCAACGAATGAAGTGCATTTTGAAAAAATCAAAATATTACTACCGCTCCATTGAATGGTTTTGAGTGTACAGTACTAAATGTCGACCGGTCCAATTTAGCTACTACCCACAACAAGGATGGTGTAAAGGCAATCAACAAACACAAATACTCAACATTCTCCAGAGATGTGTCTCAGAAAATGAAAGATCTCTGAATGAATGTACATCGTTCCGCAATGAAATATGAAATATACACGCAAACATTCACGCTACTGCACTGTCTATTATCATAAAGTGTATGACATGCCCATTTGACGGATAGAGATAGTAAAATGAAAGACTGACACTATATAAATGAAGTTAACAAAAAATTTTTAAATAGACAACCAGTCCGCTATCAAGGCTACCACTTACATCAAACATCATCAAAAAT